GCGTCTGGTCAAATTTAACCAAATGCACGCACGCACACATGCACACAAACACACACACACACACATACAGATACAAATGGTAACATGAGGCCTATGATAACCACTATTATTTTCTTAATCATAAAATGTAAATTTTGATGTTGTTTCTGCAGGATACCGTGCATGCTAAATCTAATCTGTAAATAGTTTTAGTTTTATGAAAATCTCTTTGTTATCTCGCTGAGAGTTACATGAAAAGATTAATACCACTTAAATGTGGTTGTCTGATAGATGCATCTATCTTAGCTTAGCACAAAGCATGGAAACAATGGCCAGAGCAGAAAAATGGCCCTGGTTCTGTCATGCAAATAAATCCACAAGCACATCAGGAACTCACTGTTCCTGGACAAACATATCCTGACTCGTACATCGCTGCAGGACCACACTGTGTGGTTTTTACACTTTGGAGTTTGTAAACAAGGTCTAATGTGGTAATATATAGCTTTTAGTGATGCTAGTAAATGGGTTTTATTAGCTTCTGAGTGTTCGTTAGCAAAGCCCGACACCAATAACAGAAGAAACAGCATGGCTCTGTCTAAAGTCAACAAAATCTGCGTATTAATTAATTAACATGTTACATCTTGTTTGTTTAATCTGAGGAATTAAACTGAAAATGTGCGGCTTTAGTTACTCTTGACCAGGCAACTGCTCAGTCAAGAAATGGTCAGACTGGTGGATTGTTATTTCTGCACTTTGATCGGATTAAACAAACAAGATAGAAGATGGTTCTTATTCAGTTTTAGAGATGCGTTTTTATACAGTAATTTTTTCTTCTGCCTGAACCTTCTCAGTCACTAATGACTCTCAGCAGAGCACACACCTCCAGGCCCTACTGTCAATGGCAGAAAAAGCCCGACAGTCTGCTTGAATTTGATCATATTTCACGCAAAAAAAGCAAAAAAGATTCCTGGATCTGAATCTGCACCAAAATTCAATGGGTTCTTGAATGAAGTATTCTTTTCGAACCAATACTGCATAATTCACCCAGGTTTCATGGTCAAGAACTTTTTGTGTAATGCTGCGAACTAACAGACAAACAAACAGACGCATTTACTATATAATGTGAAGACTTTGGGTTTAGTTTCTACATTCAATATCACGTATATAAACTATGTGATGTATATTATGTATATAAACTGTGTGATGATTAGAGCAAAGTGAGCTGTTTCCCTGTGTTTAAGGTGAAGCCAACTCTCTGCTTGCTACAGCCTTATATTCAAAGTGGTACAAATCTTCTTCAACTCTCAGGGAGAATATAAAAAAGCACATTTCAACAAACTTTACATTTAATTATATTTAAACTTTCCCCTACATTTCCCCTTATATATGTTCAGTTTTTTCAAATCAGTGGGAGAGGAAGGAAGAACATTCCTGTACTTGGTGCCAATTTGTTTGAGCAAAGTCTTATTTCTCAACTCTTCTCACAAAAGTGTCAGCTCTCTTGACTGATCTGGACCAGACTCAACCGAATGGACGTCTGACAAACTTTGGCTTCGACCACGAGAGATACTACATCATCACACAGGTCTCAGAACCATATCACATCACAATCAAACACACTCTCATCATCGGCTCCAGAGGGCCAACGTTGATGCCTGTCAGACTGGAAACGCTTCCAAGGTCATTCCAAAAGCTGTGGGGTGCCAGTGAACCCCGGGCCAACTGTACGTGCGGTGAACGAGAGGAGAAGCTGTGGGACAGTGCTGAATCTTCCAAGAAGTGGTCGCCCTGCCAAAGCCTCTCTGAGCATGTGAAAGTATAAGCATGAAAATCACATTAACAAGATGCCTTGGTTTCAACAGTCAGCAGGCATCTCTGGGCTCGGCTTTGTTCAGCGTTCAAGAGGCCACCACTAAGAGGCGGCTGGAGACAATGAGTCATGGCAGAGAACCAAGACAGAACCACTGCTCGCAGAGGGAAAAAAGAAGATTTGTCGGATTTTTGCCAAAAACACACCCAGGTGATCCTGAGTGAAAACATTTGGCAAATGCACAACAGGCTTCGTATCAAAACACCAGCAGTTAATGGCACAAAGACAAATGGTGCAATCATATTGAGATTTATATTCATACTCAAACAATGAATATGCAACAGATATTGTATTATTGTATTTGTCAGGGTTTAACTGCCAACTGCCTCCTTCCCCGTCTAGTCTGTGTGTGTGTGTGTGTGTGTACGTGTGTGTGACAAGTTGCATTCACTTATTCAGCACGTCTGTATGTAGCCATTTTTCTATTACACACCATTCATACACAGTGAAATTACCACTGACTGCTGTCAGTGTTTTTAATTGTTTGTCCAAAGCTTGTGTTCAAACCTGGTTTGTGGGCCACCCTCTCTACCTCCAGAGCTACAGTGGTTTTAGTTTGTTGGGATGATGTTACACTGCTTCTGTTCGTCTAAAGACAGGAAGACAGACAGAGGGACAGAAAGACAGTCAGGCAGACAGATGGAAAGACATACAAAGCAGACAGACAGACAGACAGACAGACAGACAGACAGACAGACAGACGGAGGGAGGGACAGACAGACAGACAGACATATGGACAGAGGGACAGAGAGACAGACAGACGGGCAGACAGACGGTGGGAAAGACAGACAGAAAGACAGACAGACAGTCTCTCTGGTTGTTTCATGAATCCCTCATCAGTACTGTTATTTGTCCAGCAGGTGGGGCCATCTATCTAGAGTCCAGACTGCTACATGTGCCAAACTGTCTCCCAATGATTACAATGAAAAACGAAATGACTGTTGCACTTACAACTAAAGATGAAAGACACTGCAGCAGGACTTTCACAAACACACACACACACACAATATGATGTAATACAGTACTACACAACACAATAACAAATAGTATATTCATAAACTGCTCAAATATTGTGCTTCATAAATCATTACTTTCTCATTAACGCCTCAACTTTGTCTGTATTTAGGTTCTTCTAACAGAACTTTAAAAACTGGACATCAAGGATTGTCAGGATTATTATTTCTTGCTGTCGTTCAAATCTTTGTGTGCACTCTGTGTGTAATCGCTCAGCTACATTTTCCAGCAGGTTTCCTCACTTTGACGAAAGCACATTGTGACATTGCCAACCTGAGAGTAAACTGACCTGACACGGACACACGGACGCTGCAGAGTGCAGGTGAGATTAAAGGCCACATTTGCAGGTGTCCACAGCTGGAGAGAGCTGCTCACACAAACTCCAAGAGGATTATTTTATCAAGGAAATGAGGCCCTAGATTTTCTGCTGCAGCTGGAACAAAATGTTACAAAGCTATGACTAACCAGAGTAACCTTTGGAAAATAACTACTGGTCTGAAATGGAAAACTGGCCATTTCCCTGTGGAGCCCAACAGGGTGCAGATTTTCTTTAGGATTCATGAGTAAGCAGCACTAATGCTTATGGTAAACCAGAATTACTAGAGCTAAGCTATTGATTCCAGAAAGCAAAACAGATGGAAGCTGACTGTTCTGTTCGCACAGAAAAGTTACACGTTGCTCAAAAAGATCGACTTCTCTGCTTTAAAATCATAATTTTCAGGCTTTGATATCGTTCGTGTCTTAAATGAGCTGGCTCTGTGTTTGAAGTGGGAATCAGGGGCCAGAGGTTGTCAACCTTTTACTTCTGGGAGGCCAGAGACCCAGAGACCTCCATTCTTTAGAAAGTAACACAATGGATTTCTGACATCCCCGTTACACAGAAGACTTTTGACCTGTGACAAAACTTTGCACACTTTCGCACTTTAAGATATTTATCTCATATTCAACCATAAAAATATTACCACAAAATAAAAGATTAAATAAATCAAACATCATGTAAGATACTCAAAGAATTCAGGTTACATTAAAAAAAAAAATCTTTACAGATGTTTATGATGAAGAAAAAGACCTCAACTTGACAAAAACTATCATTGTTGATTCCTGCTTTTAGTTTTGTATTGTTACTGTCAATGATCTGAGAATCTGAGGATTGCAGAATCAGTGACATCATTTAAATCATCAATCTTAAAACATTTTAAGCCTTTTAGTAACTTTAGTACATCATTAACAACGTTGTCTGTTTTATTATTTCACGATCATTGTTTAATACTGCATTTTAATATTTATATTTTATATATTATATATATTTATATTTTATATATTATATATATATATATATATATATTATTATTACTGTATTATTTAATTCCCTTATCTTATTTGCCTCAGTCCTAAAATGTTTTAATCGTGTTTTATTCATGTAAAGCATTTTGTCACTGTGGTTTGATAAGTACAGTATAAATGAAGTTTATTAATTATGTTATTATATTAATATATTATTAAATGGCAGAAATGGTATCGAGGCCTCTGGTGACGTACAACTGTGGTTCTAATATTGATTATTTTTGTTTTCATAAAGATGAATATCAGAGCCCTGCGCTGCTCCATTAACTTGTTAAATCATGTTTAGATGAACTGTCTTGACGGCGGTAGAGCACATGACAATAATTATGATTTTAAAAGCTTGTTTCTCTGAATTGAAGAAAAAACAAAACTAAGGCTTCAGGTGTATTCTTGTTAACATATACAATGCACACTGAACAACTGGTTTTAAACTAGGTGAAATAACATTTACAAAGTATAATGTATGATAATTTAAGTGGACATTACTGCCACAGAAAACCTGCTGCAGAAAACCTGCTGCAGCACAATGGTCAGTTCTTCACAAACCATTGTGCTGCAGCAGGTTTTCTTATTGAAAGTGAGTCCACAGCTGGAGGTCCAGTCTCAGAGGGGGTCATCATTTACATTGAAGTGGCTTCAGAGGAGACATTTGTGTCTCACAGTAAAACAGTGCAGCAGCAGCAGCAGCAACAGCAGCACACGATGAATTCTCTCCTCCCCTCCAGCCTAGAAAGAGGGAGGGAATTACAAGTGAAACTGGGTAAAGGGGGAGGGAGTCTGTAGCAGAGAGAGAAAAAAAGGTGTGGAGCCTCTTACTACCAGGAAAGGAGCACAAGGAAGAGAGGAGCATCAAAGAGGGGGAAGAGAGGAGTAGAGGTTTCATTCAGGGGGAGTTTGGTGGTCTCATTGATTGTTAGGAGGGAAAAACAAGAATCAGCTGAGAGAGAGAAAATACATTTTTCTTCTTCTTTCCCCCCCCTCACTTCGACAAAAGCTTTTTAAAAGACATTTTCACTCTTCAACTACAAGTGAAGTAAGTAGCCTGATAAAGTCACTTAAATCCTCACTGTGTGTTAAAGAGTGTCACATTAAGTGAAGTGTACTACGATTAGAGATGGTGATGTGTGGGAAGTGGAGGCAAGAAGCAGCAGGACAAACCGGCTGCTGCTCCTCACACGTGGCACGAGCCTGACAACTTTTTACACCGTTTCAAAAACCCGCGAATAGCTGAGTGTGTGTGTGTGAGTGTATGTGAGTGTGTGTGAGTGTGTGTGAGTGTGATAAACTCTTGCTCACACACAGGAGATAAGTGTTGCTGCTCGATCTCCTAATACCCGGGATGGGGGGGTTGTTTCTGTCCTCATGTCTTTACAGTCGTGTCCTCTCTCATCCTGTTTAAAGTCATTCCACAGTCAGTTGGTAAATTCAACGATGCTTCTCACCGCGGAGCATGTAAACACAGAGCCGGTGAGAGAGAAAAGGTTTTTATTTCCGTTTCTGAAATGTATTTTTCTATTTTGGCTGCAAGCAGCAGAGTGGACACGTTCATGTCAGGGACATAAAGGACAGATGATGCCTTCAGGAGCACGCGTTAAAGTCACACGTTTATGTCAGGGACATAAAGGACAGATGTTGCCTTCAGGAGCACGCGTTAAAGTTACAATTTATGTCAACCTATGGCTGGTGATCAACTTGTATGGACGATACATTCTCCAGGTGACAATGAAGGCTGTGAGTTGTTGGTCAGTTGGTTGGTGGATGTGCGACTCTTCAAGTAAATTTGATGATCAATTGATTGAAACTAAATCAACAACAGAAATATACAATTGACTCATCTTTAATCTTATTTTTCAATAATTCATTTTACATTCACTGGTTTCTCAAAAATCTGTGTCTGCTCTATTTACAGATTAGAGTGATTTTGAAACATGTTTATATTACAAAATAGGCCTTTTAAAATGCACCACTGCTGTCTGATGTTATAGTCAATTCATTTTTTCCCCATGGATTTTGTACTTTGTAACCTTGTTTAGATAAGTGCTGTACAAATAAAGTTATGATTATTATTTTAAAGACCCAATTATTAAACCCTATTAAGACAGTAACCGCTTGTAGTATTAGTATTGAGAACTAATATGGAAAAGAGTCGTAGCCGTCAAAACAAAAGCCCAACAAATATTTAGCAGCTGCTCAAATGTTTGAAATTGCTGCTTTTTTTTGTTTTAAAATGAAAACGATATATTTAAAGTCAGGACTGTTCATCAGGTGAAATAATCAATATCTGGCCAGCTTGTTAATTATTTTGTGATATCTTATTGAGTAGATAAAAAAATAAAGAGCCTCTGGGTTTAGAGGCTATCGCTGGACACAACAAGGAATCTCAACATTTCGGACAGGATTTGAACATGGCAGCAGACGGGCCTCTCCAGGGCCGGTAACCGGAGCCGGGGGCTGAGGTCATGCAGGCGGGGGGACAGCTGCTGGCCGGGGGCCGGGCAGGCAGGGAGCTCCGAGGGTGTCGTTATTATCATTTTGTTCGGGACTCATTGGGGCAACAGAGGCTCCCAGTGCGTGAGGTTTGTTTTCTTGGAAACTGGTGAGAATAAAGAGTTTGGCCTGCGGTCCTTTGTGTCACACTGAGGTCGATAAACACGGCGGGTCAAGGTCACACACATCCCCGCGGGGAAAAAAGAGCAGGGCTGCATGTGGGAGCAGAAACAGCACAGTTAGACACAAAGACACGTGATGAAGTCAGCGCGTCATGGTCTCTAACTCTAGTCCTGACTCAGAAAGAGCTCTTTTAATAGTTAAATATACAACAAATATCATGTGCAACTATAAATACTCTGTATGGCCTGAACAGTTCAGTTAGTCATGATGGCAACATTGCATCATTCAGCTGCTGTACTCACGTATTTCAGGAAGCAACCTCCTTATATGGCACTGCTCTCAGTGTGGACTTGCCTGCACACACACACACACACACACACAAATGTTTATACTTCTATCTTAGTCAGGACACTCAGGACTACATTCCCTAGCTCCTGACCCTAACCATAACCTTAAAATGTCCTCACTTTCCAAAAATGTCCTCCCTCTGTAGGGTCTATGCTCACAAAGGTACAGGAACACACACACACGCACACACACCAAGGTTTGCCAGCTTTCCTTACGAGGACTGTGCATTGACCTCCATTCATTGTGAGCCATCTAACCAAAACTTTACCACTAAACTATGACCAGCACCTGCCTGACTCTCACTTTAACACAATTTGATGTTAACCAGGATCTCAGATAAGAAGTTTTGCATCTGTGCAGAACCAGGACATAGGTATCTTTTGCATCACCCAAATTTTAACCTCAAATTGACTAGATTTGGTTTTATGAAGAGAATTATTTAAAGGTATTCTATGTGCTTTTCCTTGATTGCCCGTGCCCCCGTGCCCCCTTTGTACTTATCCAGAGTTCTGCGTTTTTAACCTAACTTAACGCGGCATTCTATCCAAACCAACCCCAATTCGAACTTAATCTAACCTTACCTAATTCTAACCATATTCTAACATAACATAACATGATTCATACTAAACCCTAAAACCAAGTTTTAACCTTCAAAGCTTTGAAAAAGTGACCAAAATGTCCTCGCTTTAAAATGTCAAACAGATATTTTGTGAAAATACACAGACACGCACACTTCACAGTGTTATAACAGGGGCTCGCAGCTGCCTGCCAACACTAAATGCCTCACGTTTTAGCTTGTTTGCAAGTCTTTGTTGTATGTTGACTGTCCTGCGTCACATCAACAGGGACTCTCCTCATTACTATCCAGAACCGGTAGTTAATATTTGTCTGCCTGCTTACCACAGTGACATTATGCTGTTTCTGCATAACCGCGGTTGTACTAAGCAGCATGAGAATCGGTGATAAGTAGAAGTGGATGCAGTGGACCAGGTTTTTGTGTGGGACTTATGTGTCCTGAACCTGTGCACGTGTGTTGATAACCTGAGCTTCAGTACTCACAGAGGAGCACCTGATAGCTCAGTCTCTCCTGGTGCAGACACACAATGTTTCCGAGAGTGACACGTTGCTTTAACAACATTGTCTCCACGTGAGTGTTTGTTGTGTGTTGATACGTGGTCGGGCCGCAGCATAGTAAATCCAATCCATGTGACAGTAGCCTCTTGGCCTCTTATGAACTGTGTCCATTCACACTGTGTTTGTCTGTTCCTTCTTCTGCATCAACACACAAAACACACGTCCTAGTTTCTGCAGTTCAGAGGCATACTCTCATTGAAATACAAAAGACATAAGACTTTGGTTGCAGATTCATAAAGCTCTGAGTAACTCAGAAATGTTGCTTGTCCCCACACAAATGTGGATTAACACCTATAGTTTTAAACAAATAATAATTATTATATTGTATAATCAGCTTAATTTATTGAAATGAATTGATTAGAATGAAGACATTTCGGTTTAGTGGGCCAGCTCTTCTGGTTTTATCTCCTTTAAATATAATCTCCATTACTATTGCTCAGACAGACAGTGCCAGAATATAGCTTTGGCTAAACTTATCACATATTTTTACACCCAGACAGGACTGCAGTTTTTTTTGTAGTATTCAGATTACTGTAATATGAACCTGTGCTTTAAAGAAATGTACAGATGTAGAAATGGTGGAACAGTTAAGATGAAAGCTTATCATCTTAATTATGTTTTAAAGAGAAAGCTCTTATGGCACTTTTCACCTCATGTGTCAACATTTTACTATTTCTGACCAACTGATATTCTGTGACTCATTGAGAAAACCCACTTCTACTACATGTAGTAAAGGAGGAATGACTCATAAGCTAAGGCACAATGAACAGTTGTCTTTACTATTTTTAGAAAACACTAAATAATTTTCTTACAGGTCAAACAATTAATCAAGAAAATAATCGGATGATTAATTGGAAACGATCGATAGCTGTGTGAGGCCGTACTTGGCCTCTAAGGTATTAGTGTCATCCCTCATTGGAGACACTATAGTCAAACCGGTCGCCTCTTAACTGTGTGTAACAGGTCGATTTGTGTGTTTAACATTTACTGAGCAGACTGAAGGAGTTTCCTCGCTACAATGCTTCATTGTTGAGTTTTGGGGAGTCTTGTGTGTGAGTGCTGAGTGGGCTCTCATGGTGGGGTGTCAGTTACCACAGAAATCCCCCTTTTCAAACTCTTAATTCAGCACAAAGCAGTTCACTGGGCTATGGATAATCGCATTACGTGCACCCCCCATGAGCACATACGCAGGCTCATGGGCACACGCAGAGACAAATCTGTCCCATTAGATCTCCTCTGCTTCTCCAGTGTGACACACACACACACACAAAGGAGATGCCCTCATTAGGAACTACTGAAGCCTTTCCTTGACTGCGAGTGGCTGAGATTGTTCCACCCTCACTTGCTTTCCACTTCTTCTCTGGTTGACCGCCAAACAGAATAGCTGGTTATATTTGGATCTTTGCTTCGTGTTTAGATGTTTTCCAGATGTGTGTGTGTGAGATCCCTTCACATGTCACAATGTGCAGACGTGTCCTGTGTGTACCGTGCGTGTGTGTAGTTTAGAGGTGGTCACGACTAACCTGACTATTTATTCAGTCACGTCATTGGATTCCCTCCTCTGTTTGTGTTTGTGTTTTGTTTGCATAAAAGGCTGAATCATCACTTGCTTTTGACCCAGAGAGATAATGTCAAAGCTAAACTGTGGTTAAATGCTGCTGAAAGACGCCTCTAGTTCGACTCAGTGCTGCTGCTTTCAGGTGGAAATGTCCCCCTTTTAAAAATGTCATCCCTGTATCCAGGACAAAATGTGAGTGCCCAGCATTGTTTCCTCTGGTCAAAATCAAGGGTGTAACAGCCGCTGTGTTGACAGCACAGTGGGTGGACTGCTGACGACAATGAAGAGCAAGGTGTCAGGTACTTAGTTGGAATTTACAAAACAGTGGCTGGTCACACGGGCGATCATTAGGCAAACAGACAGAAATGTCTGCCGTGACTCCAACAGGTCGCTTCACTGAAGCAAACCTAATGAAATATCTCATGGATCAGGAGTGGTTTTACTTTAGGTTCAGCGAGTTGAAAGAGTTTTCAGTGATGGTCATGACTGGGTCATTTTTATTGCAGTTTTGATGTCGTATTGTTATGATTGTATTTCATTTCCCTTTGTTAGTAAAACAATCATCATGAAACTCGGTGGAGGGATGCGATAGGTGTCAGGGAAGAACCAATTCAATTTTGGTGTGGATCTGGATCAGGAAGCAGATCCAGGAATTATGTATTTACATTTTTTTTTTAAGTCAGCCATGTTTAGGGTATGTATTAGTCAGTGCAATTTAGGGCAGCTTTAAAGGTGGTATCATAAGGAGACAATTGTTCTAGTTGTTGTATTTTGTCCTGTTTATGTTTGAGCTGCAACAATTGGTCAATCAAAAGTAAATGAACCAGAACATTGTAATGAAGCTTACACTTTTCAAACACTGTGGGACATAGCATTGGCCCATGTTTTATGCTTCTTTCTTTGTAGAAATGTATCAACTAACACAGTCTCACATCTCAAAATGCAGATTTTAAAACAAACAAAATCTCCCAATAAATATCTCGGTATGGTTTGTGTTTAATCTATGTTTAAAGTCAAACAAGTAAAGCCTTTCATTGTTAACCACTAAATATAAAATTTACATATATGTTCAAAAACACGACAGAAGTGGTGGTGTCAGAAGCTCCACTAACAAAGACATGAGTTTATTTAAGCAAAGTACGTCACTGAACACCTGCAGGGATGTAGTAACCAAACAAGTGGTGGAATATGACTGAAGCGACTGATGAAAGTCAGACTGCTCAAGCAACACTAATCTCTAACGTCGGTATATGTAATATTAATCTCCTCCATTAATCCATAGACTTTTAGAGGGCAGTAAAAATTCCATCAGAGCCTAAAAGTTTTCAGATATCAGTGATGTAGAACAGACTAACGCATCAAGTCCTTAAGTTTTGAGACGATTGATCGGGTTTGCAGATTTTGACGAAGAGACTTGTGAATTTCATAGATGTCGATCCTTTGTGTCTTCACCTAATTCTGACCGTTATATTATCCTCTTCTCTCCTCTTCCACAGAACAGCAGCGATGATGACGCCCACTCTCATCCAGGCCTACAGGAGGCGCTGGTGGATGGCGGTGACAGCGGTGATTGAAAACCTGCTGTGTTCTGCTGTGCTGCTGGGCTGGGGCTCCCTGCTCATCATGCTGAAGAGGGAGGGCTTCTACTCCCACCTGTGCTCAGGTAATAACTCAACACTGTTGTTGGGGTCTTTGAGAACTCACTTAATAACATGATAATTATAAACTAAAACCCCAATTCACTAAATTGTCTACAAACAACTACACCGGTGTTACATATTTCATTCAAGGTAAAGGGATGTTTTGTTTTGGTTGCCTTTTAATTGCATCATATCTGCTTTACCTTTGGAAACAACGTATGACACAGGAAAAACACCAATTGGCTGTTTCTTCCTTCCACTCTTTGAATTGGTCACATGTAATGGAACACTATTATTCATTCGCATTTGGCTGAAACTCTCCCAGTAAAGTGCAACTGGGTAATGGGGGTGAAGACAATAACTCCCATGATCCCACGTTGCTTCACAGCGTACTCAAACTTGTGTTTGGTTATTGCTCTAATTGAGAGACCCCTAGGCTGAAGTTACCTAAGGAACATATTGTTTAAGTTGGATTTCTGTGATTGGAAATCTCTAATAGTTTGTTGGACGGAACTCATTAGTTATGTTAAAATGTTGGATAACAAATGGAGCAATTCTTTGTCTGCGATTGGCTTTTAATAAAAACCAAATACGTAAGAGAAACAGTTATGTCTAAACCCATTTGTTGCCAACACATTGTAGGAACACCACAGTAATGAAGCGCTGAGTCACAGCATGTTTTCGATTTGTCTTTACACATTCCCAACCCTCCTGTTTCTCCAAAAACCTCCACACTTGTCTCCACAGTGAACTCCTCAGTGCTCGTGACTTTGGGGAACTCCTCTGATGGTGAGGCGGAGGAGTGGCTCAGCTGCGTGGACCAGGAGGAGATGCTAAATCTGGGGTTCACCATTGGCTCGTTCTTGCTCAGCGCCACCACCCTACCGCTTGGTATCCTTATGGACAAGTTTGGGCCGCGCCCGATTCGCCTTGTGGGCAGGTAATGGTTGTAATAAAAAATCTAAACATGATTTCTGTTTGATCAAATTCCCAGTTGCTTTTAAGAAGCAGGATAAAGTAATGCCTGTTGCCATTGCTGGAAATAAAAAGAACACACAGACTCTATTGCTCTGTGTGTTCCAGGACAAAGCCTGCTTACTGATTTGAAAACTAACTGAATGAGTGTGAGAGAGTGATTTTCCACTTACACAGAAGGCATTATTTGAGGAGGGGGTTCTTCAGTGACGCCCAGGACATTAAAAGAATGTGGCCAAATATGTTGTGAGCCACCTCTTCGAAATCAGTATCAGGTTCATTTGACTGAGGGAGTTTCTAGTACAGACAATTCATAAGGACAAAATACAGATGTACTGCAGAATGTACGGAAGTATCATTTACAGACTGGACACAGACAAGCCATGACAGATGTCAGTTGTCAGACGATAGCCAATGGGCTCTGGGATGGGTCAAAGTAGAATTAGAAAATTGGGCCAGTTCATTTGAAAGATTAACCTCCAATAAGGAACTCCAACAGCCAGATGACCAATGGTGTTAACTCACTTCTTGCCTCTTGGCATTTGGCTGACCAATGGTGTAACTTTGATCTCTTAGTCGAGGGCATTTACAATTCTACAGCTGGCCTCACTGCCGCAGTCCAACCCCAAAAAATAGCTGATGGATCACATTCCTGGAGTGGGAGGAGAGAGATGGATCATTTTGTGTGTGAATGAGTGAAAGTAGGTGGGGCTCTACATTGGGTGTGTTTCCACATTGTAGTACATTCTCATAAAACTATTACGCTGCTAGAAATATAATCACACACATGCACTTTCTCAAATTCACAGTTTGAACATCGATGACAGTAGCTGTGCTGGGAGCTGTGATAACGAGATGAAAGCTGATATGAAAAGGAGACATTTATCTGGAGCTGCAGATTTTGCAGACTCCCTCTGGCAGACAAACAGCAACTTAACTGCAGTTTAGTGAATAGTTCTGTTAAACAGCTCGTTGTTATTGTATAATAAAGTTTGAAATGCTCATGTTTTTCGTTGCAGCTCGTGTTTTGGTCTGTCCTGTGTCATGATGGCCGTGTCTGCCTACAACCCTGACGGTGAACACACACACACACACACACACACACACACACACACACACACACACACACACACACACACACACACACA